AAACAAAAAAAACCCAAAAGAACAAACCAAAAAAACCTCCTTAATAACACTGTAATGTATATCAAAAATTTGCTATAGATTTTAGGTGTTCTTACCATACACACAGATACAAGGTAACTAGGATAATGAATATTAATCTGTTTGATTGAAACAATAATTTCAATATACATATATGTCAGAATATCATATTGTATACATTAAATATATAATAAAATATAAATAAATTTTTAAAAACAGCAAGCCAAGCTTGAGGTTTCAGGGCTGCTAGGCATTTCATTTTCATTTTTTAAGCATATAAAATCCATCATTTAAAGGATAACCTAAGTAAACATGGCTATATTTACAAAGCAGAACTCTGGAGAATAGAGTTATACAATATAATGATTTTCACATTTTCTGAAGTTAGAAAATCTTCTAAATGTTTAAAAACAATCACAAACCTCAGCTCTGCACGCATTATAGGCAAATTGTTATCTATAGCTGCTACTAGAAATGCATCAATGCTCACTTGGGTTCCACAGTGTTTTAAAATTTAGTTAACCAAGATAATGGTAATACTAGTACTATATGATTCACTGTTCCTATTTTCTTCTATGTATCATACAGATGACTATCTCTTTCATTCCTATTTCAACAGATCATTGTGTAAATTAATTTATCCCATCTCCTGTTTTTATTTTCTCCATACAGAACAGAATGAAAAACACATTTTTAGATTGATAAGGAAATTGAAGGAATGCTTATCTGATTGCGTGAATAATGTATCTTACACATACATACTCATGATGGATTAAGTTGAAAAACATAATTCTCTATTCCCTCTATCCCTTTTCTATTTGACTTTCAGAAAAATATAAGTAACAGAATACGGAAGGTACATAGTATATAGATGTTTCCCATTAAAACTAATGAAAAAATAAAAATCAGGATAGAAACTATAGCACTGATAATTATGAAAGGAAAACAAATCCTAACAATTAAATATAATTCATTATTAAGAAAAGTTATAGAACTCTGATGTCACTCAATATTTGAAGTTATTTCATAAAGTTTATCCAGAATCACATTTCCTTATTTTAAAATTGTATAGAAAATTTCTGGACTTCCATATTTTGGAATAGGTGACAGAAAACTTGATTTGGAGGTAGTAATACAAGTATACCTCACTTTACTGAGCTTTACTTTACTGCACTTCGTAAGTACTGTAAATTTTACAAATTTAAGGTTTGCGACACCACATTGAGAAAATCAGCACCATTTTTCCAACAGCACATGCTCATGTGTCTCTGACACATTTTGGTAATTCTTAACAATAGTCTGTTACAGTGATCTGTGGTCTTTAATGTTAATATTGTGACTGTTTTGGGACATCACAAACTACTTCCACGTAAGAGCAAACATAAATAGTATATTCTGTTTGTACCACCATTTAGCCATTCTTTCTTCCTCTCCTCAGGCCTCCCTAGTTTCAGACGCAACAATTTAATAACCCTGCAATAGTCTCTAAGTGCTCAAGTGAAAGGAAGAGTTGCATGACTCTCACTAATCGAAAGTTAGAAATGAGTAAGCTTACTGAAGAAGGCAGGTCCAAAGCTGAGACAGGCTGAAAGCTAGGCCTCTTGCACCAGTTAGCCAAGTTGTGAATGTAAAGGAAAAGTTCTTGAAGGAAATTGAAAGTGTTACTCCAGTGAACACATGAATGATGAGAATGCCAAGCAGACTTGTTGCTGACAGGAAGAAAGTTTTGTGGTCTTGATAGAAGATCAAACCAGCTATGACACTCCCTTAACCCAAGATCTAATTCAGAGAAAGGTCCTAAAACTCTCTTTAATTCAATGAAGGCTGTGAGAGGTGAGGTAGCTGAGAGGTGAGAGGTGAGGAAGCTGCAAAAGAAAGTTTTAAGGTGGCAAAGGTTGGTCCATGAGATTTATGGAAAGAAACCATCCATTCTGCAGTATCCACAATATAAAAGTACAAGGTGAAGCACCAAGTGCTAATGTAGAAGCTTCAGCAAATTAATCAATAAGATCTAGCTAAGATCATTGACGAAGGTGGCTACTCTAAATAACACATTTCAATGTAGATGACACAGACTTCTATTGGAAGATGATGCCATCTAGAAATTTCATACAAGGCACGGCTTCAAATCCTCAAAGGACAGACTGACTCGTTAGGGACTAATGCAGCTGGTGACTTGAAGTTGAAGCCAATGGTCACTGACCACTCCAAATAACCTAGAGCCCTTAAGAATTATGCTAAATCTATACTGCTTTTGTGTTCTATAAGTGAAAATAAAGGCAGGATGACCGCACACCTACTTACAATATATTTTAGTTATTATTTTAAGCCCACTTTTGAGACACACTGCTCAGAAAATAAAGGATTTTAAAATATTACTGCTCATTGACAAATACAACCGGTCACCTAAGAGCTCTCATGGAAATATATAAGGAGATTAAGGTTGTTTTTATGCCCACTAACACAACATCCATTCTGCAGCCCATGAATCAAGAAGTAATTCTGATTCTCATGTCTTTTTTTTCCATTTGGTACCGATAGGGTCTCACCCTGCGGCGCAGGGTGGTCTTGAACTCCAAGCCTCAAGTAAGCCTCCTGCCTCAGCCTCTCAGTGTTGGTATTATAGGTGCATGGCCTCAAGTATTATTTAAGAAATAATTATTAAGAAATACATTATGTGGCTGGTGCAGTGGTTCATGCTGTAATCCCAGCACTTTGGGAGGCCGAGGCAGGCGGGTCACTTGAGGTCAGGAGTTCAAGACCAGTCTGGAAAACATAGGCAAACCCCGTCTCTTACAAAAAAAAATAGAAAAATTAGCTGGGCATGGTGGCATGCCTAGAGTCCCAGCTATTGGGAGGCTGAGGCAGGAGAATTGCTTGAACCTGGGAGCTACAGGTTGCAGTGAGCTGAGATCACGCCACTGTACTCCAGTCTAGGCGACAGAGTGAGACTCCATCTCAAAAAAACAAAAGAAAAGAAAAGAAATACATTACATAAGGCTAGTATAATAGCCACCATACACAGTGATTCCTCTGATGATCTGGGCAAAGTAAATTAAAAACCTTCTAGAAAGGACTCATTATTCTAGATGCCATTAAGAACCTTAGTGGTTCATGGGAGGAGATAAATATGCCAATATTAACAGGAGTTAGGAATAAGTTGATTCCAACCTTTAGGGATGAACTGGAGGAATTCAAGACTGCAGTGAAGAAGGAACTACAGATGTGATAGAAACAGCAAAAGAACTGGAATTAGAAGTAGAGCCTGAAGATGTGACTGAATTGCTGCAATCCTATGATCCAACTTGAATGGATGAACAGTTGCTTCTTATGGATGAGCACAGAAAAGTAGTTTCTTGAGATAGAAATTACTCCTGGTGAAGATGCTGTGATCATTGTTGAGATGACAACAAAGAATTTAGGATATTCCATAAACTTAGGTGATACTGTAGCTACAAGCTTTGAGAGGACTGACTCCAATTCTGAAAGAAGTTCTATTGTAGGTAAAATGCTATCAAATTATCATTGCATGCTATGCAGAAATCTTTCATTAAAAAAGAGTCAATCAATGTAAACTTGTCATCTTAAGATACTGCCACAGTTATCCCAACCTTCAGCAACTACAATCCCAGTAGCCATCAACATCTCTATCAGCAAAAAGACTGACTCTTGAAGGCTCAGATGATTAACATTTTTAGCAATAAGGTATTCTTTAGGGTGCAGCGGCTCACGCCTGTAAATCCCAGCACTTTGGGAGGCCGAGGCGGGCAGATCATGAGGTCAGGAAATCGAGACCATCCTGGTTAACACGGTGAAACCCCTCTCTACTAAAAAAATACAAAAAAAAAAATTAGCCGGGCGAGGTGGCGGGCGCCTGTAGTCCCAGCTACTCGGGAGGCTGAGGCAGGAGAATGGTGGCGTGAACCCGGGAGGCAGAGCTTGCAGTGAGCAGAGATGGCGCCACCGCACTCCAGCCTGGGTGACAGAGCGAGACTCCGTCTCCCAAAAAAAAAAGGATTATTTAATTAAGGTATATACCTTGTTTTTTTAAAAACATAATACTATTGCACAGTTATATGCGCTGGAAAACTTAAAAAAAAAACTGTATGGCTAGGCTTATTATGATATTTGCTTTATTGCAATAGTCTGGAACTGAACCTACGGTTTATAGTATACTTTGGAGTATAAATCTCTGTTGAATCTTTAATAAGATGAATGTAAAGCAGGAATTTTAAAGAATGTAGCTAAATGTCTTCTATACCTTTGTTACTCAAAGCACAGCCCACAGACCAAGTAGCATCAGCGTCAGTTGCAAGCTTGTTAGAAATTCACAAGCCCCACCCCAGACCTCCTGACCAGAATCCTCAAGTGATGTGGTAGTCACATGTTAAGTAGCAAGGTTCTAGACCAGTGTCAAATAGTTCACCAAATCACAGAGCTATTTTTCTGTGGCAAAAACATCCAACACCACAGATTGCCGTGTAGCACCAACAATAACACAGGCTCAGGTCATGTCTGAGATCATATTATAAACCCTGGCTATACCTCTTATTGTGTGATGTTAGACATGTTACATAATCACATGCCTTAGTTTCATCATGTGTACAATGGAGGTGAATAGGTATATCTCATAAGAATAATGTAAAAGTTTATATATTACATGGAAATTCTTAGAATTAGTACCTGGCACACTATAGGTAATCAGAAAATGTTCACTATCATCCTTATTTTTGGTATCAAGTTCAATTGCTATGAAGACAGTGAATACTTGGAAAGAACAAAGAAGGAATTCATGACAAATTAAAACTGAAATTACACCCAAATTATGCCAGGTAAAAATATTTAAACCAAAATATTTTGATAAATATTAGAAATAGGTAAAAAGCATTAACGCACAAGCAGAATAAATTTTAAGCATTACAATGGCTCCATTGTTTTACTGTGCATTTATACAGGATATTAAATAGCATACTTTATCTTACCAGTCGTTTGCTATAAAGTAATGCTGTGCTGCTGCCACTGGAAACTGCCCATTTAGAAAAATGCATGACATGCTCCAATTGTTTAGAAAGTCCAGCCACTTCCTGTTGTTGTTGCATAAGTTTCATGCGATGGTCCTTTGCAAGGCTCTGAAAACAAGAAAATAATTTCAAAATTAGTATCAGCACGTAATATAGACTTCAATGGTCATTTCCAGGTAAACAAATTAGAATAACTACAATCTCTAAGTACTCAATTTACTGAAACTAAAAATACTCTTAGTGTTTTCCCTATTAGTACAAAGGATCATTTTCACTATAGCAAAAAACTGCATCCCAAATGTGGCCCCTCAGCCCTCAAGACCCTGGATCAGGGGCCTTACGTATTCTGGGAGTTAACTCTGTTCGTGCATCTTACAATACATAAAAAAGGATAGATTAGCTATAATACAGTAAAAGCCTATGAAATTCAACATTCACAAATAAGACAGATGTACTATCCAGCAAACCTGTAAAGTAACTCAATCACGTAATTTACTCAATCATATGATTTCACCTTTTAGGGATTCTACTTCACAGTTGCACTTGCAAGTAGTTTGTGCAAAACAGAGTCATGCTGTGTTGTAGATGACACTTATCCTTTGTATGTGGTAATTTTTTTAAAAGGCATCACATTATTTCTGTCTATTGAGAATTAACATGGGAGCCAACAGATGCACGATTGTGCCAATGCACTTTAAGAAAAGCTACATAAAATAATATAGATTTCTCTAAGGGAAGTATGTATGTACTTTCCTTAGAGAAGGCAGATAATCAAAAGTAGAGCACACTGAACTTGGGTATTTTAAAGGTTCCTATCCAAAAACCTCATCCTAGATCTAGCAAGGAAAAAGGAGAACAGGACTTTCTACTGTCTCAGATAAATTAGAAAAGTTTAAAACTAAAATTGCTATACTACAACATGGACTTACATTCTCAATAAAAAGCGAACCCAGATCCTGGCCCTAGTCAGTTCCAGATTTGGAAAATACACTTGAGCTACACTGAGTTAAGCGGGAAATTGCAGTTGTCTGTCTGAGGGACTGGTAACGGCCAATGACTCTGCCATATGTAATTTAAGTTCAGAGAGACAGTAATTTGCCTAGTAGGCTATTTTTGACCTCTGTAAAAATTTATTAAGTGTTTCTTTGGAAACATTCTAGTAGGAATAGAAATTGTTTACTTTGAAGAGGTTGAGAATTAAGAATTAAGAATTGAGAATTAAGAATTAAGAATTAAGAATTTTTTGGCCTTCTATCCTAAATATCTATTTCAGCCAATTTCTTATGAGTCTTAACAGATAAAAGGGGTTATGTTTATTTGCCTTTAAAAGGGACTCCAACCAGCCTGGGCAACATAGTGAGACCACATCTTTACAAAAAAAAAAAAAAAAAAAAAAAATTAGCCAGGAGTGGCAGCACATGCCTTGTAGTCCCAGCTTCTCAGGACGCTCAGTCAGAAGGATTGCTTGTAGTCCCAGTTTCCCAGGAGTTTGAGGCTACAGTAAGCCAAGGCCATACCACTACACTCAAGCCTAGATGACAAACTGAGACCTTGTCTCTAAAAAGTAAAATAAGAAAATTCACTAGAGTGAGACTTCATCTCTACAAAAATAAAAAATTAGTCAGGTGTGGTTGCACAGCTACTCAGGAGGCTGAGGTGGGAAGACTGCTCGAGCTCGGGAGGTAAATGCTACAGTGAAAACACCACTGCATTCAAGCTTGGAGAACAAAGTAAAACACTGTCTCAAAAAAAAAAGCCGGGGGCGGGGAGGTGGGGTAGTTCATACCTGTAATGTCAGTACTTTGGAAGGCTGAGGCAGGCAGACTGCCTGATCCCAGGAGTTTGAGACCAGCCTGAGCCAACGTGTCAAAACCCCCTCTCTCAAAAAAAAAAAAAAAAAATTAGCCAGGCATGGTGGCATACACTTGTAGTCCTAATTACTCGAGAGGCTGTGATGAGAGGATCACCTGAGCCCAGGAGGTGGAGGCTGTGGTGAGCCATGATTCATGCTATTGCACTTCCATCTGGGCAACAGAGCGAGACCGTGTCTCAAAAAAAAATTATTTTTTAAGAATGAACCTGGTCATCAGTAGATATATACTGACCAGGTTCATTCTTACATATTTGCATTTTCTTTGTAAAGCTCTTCAAGTGATTCTGATGTACACAGTCAAGTTTGAAAACACAGACATAGTAATGTATGCACTAGTAGTATCTGGGAAAGCAAATCAAAGTGATATTTGATTTTAAGCAGTTTTAGAAACTTAAATTTCTACTTAAATTTTTTTTTTTTTTTAAGTCACAGACCTTAAACAAATAGTTACTATAAATGGGGTCTGATTCTTCCTGCCCAGAATACTTCCTCACTAAATAACTACATTTCCAAAAGAACAGAGAATTATTTTAGTCTTTGTTTCCTGTACAGCTGGTAATACACAGGAATGACCATGCTTTCCCAGAAGGGATAGAACTTTCTGACAGAAACCTTATAATTTGGCAAACTATGACATAAAGAAGATTATCTAAATTATTTCTAGAAGTCTTATTTTTTCCTCAAATCTTCAAACATTAGGATTCTTTTATTTTTTTCTCATTTGCTTCTTTACTGTATCAATATGCTTTCTATGTCAACATACTAAAGGAATACCTAAAAATCATGCAATTAATATTATAGATTAATGTATCATGTAGGTGTTACAACTTTCTATTATTTGAAGGGAAAACAAAAGTTTGGATCTTGACCTTCATGAGTTTTAAAAAGCTGAGGAAGATAGTAATGTTTTTCTTATCTGCAGTGAGAAACAACTAAGTGCCTTGGGCATATCTCCCCAAGTGCTGCTCTCGCAATTAGAATTATAAAATGTTGAGGGCAGGGCTAGCCGTACTCTTTCACCTAACTTCTCACAGGGTTGAATATATATACTTGAGAACTAAACTGAAGTGTATCTTTCTAGAAAATTTCGCTCCACTAAACCCCCTTATGATGCAAAGTTGTCACTTCAGTTAATCTCCAAAATAACTCATCTGTTTAACATTCAGAGATCCTCCTACAAGCAAGGCATTATAATTTGTGCTATAAAGAAAACAATCAGTCGTCAGACATTCACAGTGTATTATAAAGTTTTAAATTGTCAGCTACAATAAAAAAATCCAGCAAAGGAAAACTTGGGAGTGGGGAAAAAAAGTATTGAATCATAAATGAAACAATTATATTAAAAGCACTATGATTTCTACTTCACAGTACTTTAGGAAATACTATGTTGAATCGATATACTATCCCATGGGCAGTCACTTACCTCTAACTGATGCAGTAGAGCTTTTCCTTTTTTATTTATTTCTACCATCAATGTAAATATAGCAACTTTAATATCCTGTTCCACCTGCTTTTGATTTTGATTTACTTCAATAATTCTGAAAATTAAAAGGGGGAAAAACATAAGGCAGATTTTTTTGTATAATATTTAAAATTGATGTTTTAATGTCTACATTAGACCAAAATGTTTTCAGCCCTTAGAAGCTCTGCTATTTCTAAGTCCTTCACTTTAAATTGACTGTCTTGAAGATGAGACAGCAGAAATATAATTCTTCTGAAAGATATCACCACTTAATCTTAAAATTAAGTCTTGAATCTTAAAGTTAGAAAAGAATGAGTACATTTTAAGAAAATACAGTTTGGAAAAATTATGATGACACCCAGGAAAATCAAGGCTCTACCTAAAAGGATGGGGGGTGGGGGTGGACTAAAAAGGATTTATAAACCATGATTCTGAACAAGTTCTACTATATTAATTGCAACCAAAAGCTAGAAAAGTGTACATGTGATACTGTTTTCTTAGTAATCTTAACTGCTACGGTATTCACACACCTAAGTAGAAAAAGACAAAAATACTAGTTTGCTACTTAACCCATTCTTTGCAAAATTAGCAGCCAAATAACCATGTTTTATCAACTACATACCTCTCTTGAGGTGGGAAATTAAAGAAAAAAAGAAAAATAAAATTAAAAAGAGAAAAGCAAGTTTGAAAAACAAGCTTTCCTGTATTAGGCTGACTTATCCCAGAGGCAGAAATAGGCACAGCCCAGACCCAGGAAAGTCTTGATAATATTATCTAAGAAACTAGGGCTCAAAGGAATGTGCTCTGAAGACTCTCCCAGCACTCCCTCAACATGGGGAGAAGAAAAAAACAAATTTTCTTTATTTTCCTTTCTCCTATGGTATGAGTAAACTTATGAGTTTATTGATTCCTGTTTTCTATAACTAGTAACTTTAAGTATTGTTTTATCTAAGCAGCTCAGCGAAGGTCATGAGACATGCCTGAGCGGGCCTGGATTGTAGCCATCCAGACACCATAGTGAAGGTTATGAGATAAGTCCGTGCAAGGCACTAGAGCAACCCTAGGTAACAGCCATCTAAGCTGCATAGCAAGAATCATATGTAAGTCTGAGTTATGAACCTGTCAAAGTATGATTAACTGCCTTTGTTCTGCTTTTGTACCTGAGCTTTCGTGCCACTATGCTTCACGCCACTGTAAGCTTGTTTCAAAGTAGCCCACCCTCTTTTAGAATTGTGTATAAAAGCCAAGTCTGGTCTTTGTTCTAGGCCCAGTCTTTGGCTGTTAATCCGCTGGGTCTGAGTACACTCAATAAAATCCTCCTGTTCTACCTACTGGTCTCTCCAGTCTCCTGATTCCTGCAACACTCTTACAGGAAGAAAAACATACGGTACCACACCAGAATGTTATAGAAAATAACAGAGCATCCGCCAAACTTTGTGAGATTAAATTAAAAGCTTAATTTCTTCTGCAAGCTTCTCCCACAGTTACCCTCCAAAACTTAAAACCAAACTGGCAGAAACTTTATTTCCTGCTGGAAATTCTTCAAGATAATTATTTGACATCAACATTACTACAGGATCAAGGGAACCAGATAAGTCTGAGAAGCAACCAATCTCAAAAAACTCATTTAAGTATTCATGATGGTAGAATAGGATGAATAAGGGAAAAACAGTGGCATGGGGGCAAATGCATAAAAATGAATATCAGTTACTCTAATAAATGTACCCTTTTATAATCAGATAGGTTATAAAGATATATAAGCAATTTGCACTTAACAAAGATTCTTTAATTTTTGCCTCAATTCAGAAATCAAAATTGTTACACACAATGTTATAATTTTGTAGAAGAAATAAAGCACAAATCACTTTACAAAAATAAAAGAACAAATTTGAAGAACACTATCTTAAGACTTACTATAAAAAGCTA